CCTGCTGATTTAGCCCTGCCCTATTTATACAGCTGCACTTGCTAAAATGATCTATTTAGCATCACAAAGAAATCATGTGGAAGTTTACTGGTATGGCGTGGCCTAATTTGCATCGTTTCCTCAGGAGGAAATATTGTTTACCTAATTTCATTATTTTGTTTCATATCAATGAAACACTGTATAAATTAAAATCTGTCAACAAGCCTTCACAAAATTTCCCCACAAGAGGTCATTAATGAAGTTAGGTATTACTGAAGTGCGAGGCAATGTGGCATAACATTTCCTGAACTCATTAAGAGAGGGGGAGTTAAAAGCCACAGTGTATGAATTTACAATGCTCCCCAGAGGCTTAGGAAAAAAAATTCCAAACAACCACACTGAAGTTGCTGTCACAGCCTCACTGGCACTGATAAATAGGATCTCAATGCTGATAAACATCAGCTCATGATTTCTAACGTTTTCCAACTCAAAGCAATAATATACCAACAGCTTTGTACTCAAGTGCTCCTGATGATCACTCAATTAAGTGTTGACACTCATCATCGGGGCAGATTCATTTATATAATTAATTTTTCTCAGGTCTAACGCTAACCAACCTTTAAAGAGCCGGGGAGGCGGTCCCCAGCTCCCCGCCGCGGCAGCCCCAGCAGCGCTGCCGGGCTGGCAGTGACCTCCTGTGGCGGCGCCGGCAATCGCCCGGCAGGCAGCAGGCAGCCTGATGCAGGGTTCCTCCTCTGCCTCCCCCCCGGCACTCCGATTTTTAAGTGGCCCTTTCTTTTTGGTCCCTAAGGTCAGTCCCCTTCCCCGCATCCTGCTCCCCTCTCCCTTGCTGCGCATACAGAAATGGGCAAGGACACACAGCAGGGCAGCATCCTGAGACTGCTGGGTGGTGGGGCCTGGAAACTGGCACATCCCTCTCACCATCCTGCAGCAGCCTGGAAGAGTTCAGCTAAAATAAAAAAAAGCCTCCCACATCATCCAGCTTACCTTATTTCATTTTGATATGTAGATCCTGGAGGGGGGGAAAGAGAGAAGAAATTTTTTAAATGGAATGTGTTTGAAATGCAGGAAAATAAAATGTGACCTACTAGAGAGCTCCTCTTAGAGTGTGCACTGTGTTCCAGCTACTGCAGGGCATCTCTCCTCCCTGTTTACAAAACTGTGCAACATCCCTGTAGAACAGTTTACAGAGAAATTGTAAATTAAGCATGCAGCACTGGTGGTATGCTTCAACAAAGAACCTCAGCACAGGAATCAAACATCACTGAAAGTTAGCACACTCCTGAAAAACATTGCTCCCTTGTAGTTAAAGTGAATGGCAAAACTCATGGGTCACTGGTTACTTTGGAACCAATTCAGAAGAGAAACAGCAAGGGAAAGTAAGGAGCATATTAACCAGGTCATGGTTAAGAGCCGGATCTGTCTTCTGACACTTCCGATTACAGATCTTTACACTACAGCAGAGCTGACATAGCTGGGAGAGTCCTGTCAAATTTAGGATACTTTTTAATGCATAGATCAACTGTGAAGGTCCACTTACCTTTCTTCTTCAGGCAGCAGCAGCGTACAACAACCACAATAATAATGATCAGAAGAATAATACCAACAAGTGAAAGCACAACTGCAAGGACAATAACCCATGTGTTCCCGTTGTCTTCACTGTATTCATTTTCTGTTAAATTAAAGGAAGAAATATTATACTACCAGAGCCTCGAAACCTCCTTTTCAGAATACTTACCTTTTCTGTGGGAACCTATTAACCGCTCGTTGATTATTTAACAAGAAGTCTTGTGTTTTCCAAATGACACACTCCGTATTATGGATGGTGCCCAAAAATCTAAAATGTTTCCAAATGTAAATTCTTTATTGCAATTGTAACTTTTCCCACTGCTACTTCTCTTCTAAAACACAGAGTTGCAATCTTCTAACCTAATCTTTATTTTGTTGGTATGCTGGGCCTCGCAGCACCCTTTGGAGACACGTGGGATTGGGGAGAGGGATTACAATTCAATTTATACACCTGTACTGCAGTTACTAAGCATCTTGCCTAGCTGTTGTTGTCAGTGGAGAGAAAATAGGTATTTTGAGTCACAATTTATTTGGCCAAATGTGTATGTGTCCCTTTGGATAAATGAACAGCTCTGAAGAAGAGTCCATTTCTCCCCACAGACCAGAGCAATAGTCTCACATGACTAGTACAGCTGGAGATCTCTAGCCTGTAGATACGATCTTCTGATAAATCTCATCTTGGGATTTTTCTTACTGATTTCAGCAGGTCTTTGATTATGGGACATATATGGTAGGGCATCTATCATCTACTTAAAGAGCAGCAAAGAGCAAAACCTTTTAAAAAGTAGCACTGTTTGGGAATACGCAGCTACTAACCCATCTTCTCTACCAGCATGCTCACAGCATTAACTTCTCTTTGCTGTAAGCTACAGAGTAAAATGAGGTGATCTCAGGATAATTCAATGTCTTGCTGAAATCGGTTGCTATGACCAGTTTTTTCTACAGAGCTCCCACATGCACAGAATTTTAAAAATAGCTCATGTTTCTTATGTAGCTGGATGCACAAGGAAGGTGCTGGTTCTGATTGTCACATCATCCTGTCCTTTGATTTCAACCAAATATTTCAGAAGCACCTCTAATTTGGCTATCCTTTGAAAAGCACCCCCAGATTAATTTTGGCAGTTGTTTAGAAACAAGCTTCCAATCCAAATTACAGGTGTGAGACACATCCAAATTTGGCAAAACCCATTCTGTCGCACTGGCTTTAGGATTGTAATTTCCTCATTAGAGGTCCCAGTTAATGACTGCCTGGCCACGTTTAGCTGACAGCCTCTGGAAAAGGTACTGCAGCCAGGTAGGTGATTGGTAGCTCTGCAGTGTCAGGGCTATTCCCCCAATGTGTGAACCAGAGTCTGCTGGTTTACATATGGCAGGGAATAAAGAAGTAAATTCTTTCTATCTCCAGATTTTCCTGGGCATATCTTTGGACTTTGAAGGCTGCAAACTGTAAAGATACAGGACTGGAGCTTCCTACAAAGCTTGAACCTCTGTTAGGAGTCTGCATTCTCCAAAGCTCAGGTCATTCTGAGTAAGTAATTTGTTCCAATCTTCTTTAATCCCAATGCTCAATCAGCATGTTTTCAATTTCTTCTGACTATTAGAGAAAACAAGCACTCAGTAACCTGCAAACTAGTAGTTAATTCTGTAGGCTATAATCAATTGTGATTACAATTAGTGATACACTTGATAATATTTTTATCTAGAAGTACTGCAACAAATATCTATATTTTATCAGATACTGTTCCATAAACCATGACACAGGGATTTCAAGATTCCTAAAATATGAAAAACAGCTCTAGGGAAAGCTTAACCCTAGTGTGAAGGGAGGAGCACACCTGCACCGGCCCATGCCTCCAGGCTGCTGCCACACCAAGATATTTGACTCTGTGTCAGGTTCAGGTTACATGCCAAAAGAGGATCTACGGAGCTGAAGTGAGAAGGACAGGATACAGCACAAAGACTCCCAGCGTTTCAGTATTGTAGTTCCCCCCCAGTTTTGGAAGATCCAGAAAGAAACTGGAGCTAGAACCAGCAAATATGAATGCAGGAGCTACCAGCTTCACACACAGGTAGGGGTGCAAGAGAAGGACACTAAGGCATGAGGGCATTAAACCTATTTTAGCCCCATTAGAAAATCCTCACCAAGTCACATGAGGTGCTTAGTGTGGGCAAAGCCACTTCCTCATTCAATAGGGCCCATCCTCTGCTGTTACTGGGACCTCTGGCTCCTCCCAGAGCTGCCCAGAAATCTACTTGGGCTAAGTAAGAAAAGGGGATTTTCCCCTGGCACACACTGGTGACCTAGGAGAAATGAGAGACCTGACAAAGCTGCACATTACTTCCTGGACACTTTGGAAATTTCTGGCTAACTTAAAAGGCAAAGGAAAATTAGGCTTATGACAGATTCCCTATCTTCATCTTCTGCAGGTCAAAGGCCATATGAAGTCAACACTGACACCAAAGAGAGCTTGGGCCCAGCTAAGCGAGTCTTCCATGGACCCCGTTTCCCAGTAACAACTCAGTAAATATATCTGCTGGAAAAATTGCATAGGAGTTCCCAAATCTAGGACTCAGCCAAACACCAGTGTGAGTGAGGTAACTCTGGAGAAGAAGTGACTGACATGAAAATGCATAACCTTGCATGGAAAGGTCTGAGATTAAGACTGATCAAGAGATGCCATGCCAGAAGGTAGGACATTGATTGAACAGGAGATGGCTGGCAGAAAAGGGCTCAGTTTTTTGGTTTTCTTTCTTGTGAATGGACAGGTGTTGCTTGTGAGGAACATGGAGGAATTTTGTCCCTCAAGATTTAAAGTGAAGGCTGAAATTGATATTGCAGTAGTTTTGAGAAAGACTCCTTAGATGCTTGAAGTTAGTCATATTCTTTCCTGACAACAGCTAGCTAAGGCTGAGTCTGCATATGAAAAGTCAGACAAGCTCTGAGATTTCAAAATGTGATGTATACATTACATATCTTTCTCTGTTGTAAATGCCATGTCTTTCATTCTAATAATTTAAAGACTTCAAATTCTCATATCCTGACAAATTTTGAGTGTCTGCTGCTGCACAATGATTTTTCCAAAGAGAAATGAATGATGGTCCTATACAGTCACTAATTATACACTAACTGTGCTTCATGACATCTGTTTTTCTCCTCTTCTGATTTACAATGAGTAGCTATGGAAACTGAGGGTGGATATCTTAGTACTTCACAAATGAGTAGGCAGGGGAATTTATTAATTTCCTCAGGATAGTTCTATTTTGCTTAGTCAGTAATTAGGAGCAATCTGACACAAAAAAGTCATATTACAAATGGTGAAATGACCTTTTTCAACTGCATTACAAAGCAAGTACTTCTGAGAAAGCCTTTATAATAATGACTCATACTTAAAATAAAAGACAGTTACTTATCCTCTTCAGCCGTTTGTATGTCAAAACTTCTATAGCAAACCACTCATCAATCCACTATAAGAATGTCTTTGTACATGCCATGTTCACCCATGACAGAAGAAGAATCAGTTCATCAAGAGAAGCTGTCAGCATTATTATCAAAATTCATGATGCTCACCACATCATAAAAAGAATCATAAATTCAAGGCCCTACTCTGTGCAGAAGACATCTGGGGATGCATGCATCCACTGCAAAAAAACGCTCCATATAATCTATGCATTTTCTGTACCACACAATAAGGCTAATAAAAGGAGGCAGTATACCTATACCCAGTAACCTCAGCTCCTTGCCATGCAATTAGTGTTTCAAGCTTAATTTGCCTTAAGACTTCTGTAGCAGACACTTGGCCAGTCCCAACGGATAAATGCTCCTACAGATGATCTGGTATTGTCTCCCTCATTTTCAGTAAACACTGCTAACCCTTAGGGTCATAATTCCTCTTACTTGCTCTTATTGTGTTACAGTTTGGAAGAGAAAAACATTTTTCATAGGATTCTGTAGGACTGTGAGGCAAATCTGTAGTGATAGTCTCACTTGCTTTGCTCCATGCTGGCAGCACAGACGAGACCCTTTCCCTGATGAACCTCCTAGTACTGTGAATGTGTTAAATTATGGAATTCTATTTTCATAGGATGTCAGTGAGCACAAAGAATAACAGCATTACAAAAAATGCTGACAACCTTAGCAAATATATTTAGGGTTATTGAAGGTCTTGCTAACTGTTCTTGAGAGATTTGCCCAACATCCAGGCTTGTATTAAAGCAACCTTGAATTTTCTTCAATAAAAGACAAAAAAATGAACCAAATGCACTGTCCAAAGATTTCCAGATATGTTGCTGCAGGACAATTTTTACCTTCCTCTAAGGTGTGCAAGAAGCCATGCCAGGAAGAGGAAAGGAGGCCCAATGGCTCTTTGATCTAAGTAGACTTTGAGATAAGGGCCATGAATAAGCAGCTTCTCTCGATTACCTGATTCTTGTTCTGTAACAGGTGAATACACCACATACAAAGGCTTTCTTATAGCAGATTGGTGATATGTATATGGTATAGAAGTTTCTACATATAAATGCTACCATCTGCAATTAGATGCTAGCCTCAGTTCAGCCCTGGGGACAGTACCCCTATATTACAACAACTCCATAACATCTCTTGCTGCTCATATGGAGAACTTTCTATTTGCACCTGAAGTGCTAGTACAGAATCTATTCTGGACTGTATGCAGAAACTGGGAGTAAAATCCAGGGTTTTTTCCAAGTCAGTTGTAAAACTGGTATTGAATATTACGGAGAACAATTCTACCTGAGGGTTTGCCTTTGAGTCAATGAAGTCTAACAAATTACATTAATACGACAGGCATTGCCTGATCAAAGATACTCAAGATCTAAATTCATTAAATGTTTATTTGGTCCAGGAGCAAAGTCTGGTTTCTTTAGCAGTGAATCCATAGCAGGAGTCAGTGGCAGATGTACTGCTTCCTTTGTCTTGGTCATTCCTAAGTTGGAGTTTGTGGTTCATTAGACTTATACCAGTCCTCTCATGGGTGTGAATTTAACCCTATCTATGTATCAGGTTGTGACTACTGAATCTTAATTCTATTGCACATTTGCACATCTCATAGTATTTCATTTGCTACTAAAATTATTTTCAAAATAAGGTAAAGCAAAGCAAAACAAAACAAAAAGCACAGTTCAGAGAAGACAGTATAGGTGAAGACAGCAAAAGTTCACTTACCCATAGTAGAGTTGACAAAAATAACAGCTACAGTTGCTTTCTGAGGGTTAGGGAGTGCTTCTATGTCAGCTAAACAAGTCAAAATCTCAGTGTCCAACGGAGTCAAAGTTAGGATGCTCAGGGCATTGTTGAGTCCATTAGATCTTTGACTTTCCTGGGTAACATACCTGGACTTACCAATGAAAGAGTCATTTATCATCCAGGTAATGTCTGGAACTGGAGCCCATCCTAAGGCTTCACAAACAATTTCAACTGTTTTGTTCTCTCTTACTGTTAAGGTGTTATTTTTGATGAATAAAGATCCATTAACTGTAGGAGGGAAAAGATGTTTTGTTCCTTCAGAATATTTGGCT